GTATGGCCAAAAGAGAACCACTAGACTTAAAAAAAAAAAAAAAAAAAAAAAAAAGTAAATAAAATAAAACTGTTTGCATGTGTTGAAAATCATATTTGCTCCATCAGGCCTTTATGGCTCATATAGTCTGATAGAGTGAGAATCCGGAGGAAAAAACTGCCAAACATATAATGCAGTGATTGAGAGCTGAAGAAATAAAGGCTCCTCAGAAGATGTGAGATGTTCTGGAGGCTTGTGAAGATCATTCCTCCGCTGAGGAACAGTGAAAGTAAAGCTTCTGGAAACAAACGCTCCTCAAAAGATCCTGAGGATCAGATTTGAGACTCTAAAACATGATTGATGGAGAATCAAGTAAAGCTGAGCTGCTTCAGTCCAGTGAGTGTTCATCTGGAGATATTACTGACGTTATTCTGACCTTTACTTGATAAAAATCAGTCCAGATTTGACACGAGAAGCTCCAGCTGAAGCTGTTACACAGTTGCTTTTTGTGAAGTAAAGGTGAAAGTCTTTCTGATCATTCGTACTCACGTCATGACTGAAGCTTCAGCGAGGAAGGCCTGAGCCGTGGCGTCGTGTTTGATGCACTTCACTGCCACCTTCGTCCCTCTGTAATCTCCCACCATCACGTCTGAACACACACACACACACGTCTGGTCAGCTATCCTTGTGGTGACTCTCCATAGGCATAATGGTTTTTATACTGTACAGACCGTATATTCTATTGCCCTACATCTAAACCTACCCCTCACAGGAAACTTTCTGCAGTTTTACTTTCTCAAAAAAACTCATTCTGTATGATTTATAAGCTTTTGTACCCGTGGGGACCTCAATTGTGCGCGTTTAGGTTCAATTTAGGTCCCCACCGTGACACGAGTCCTCATGAGTCTGTGTGTATTCAGGTTTAAGTCCCCACCAGGAGACACAAACACACACACACACACAAAAATACACCCACACAAAACACACAAGTGCACACACACACACACACACACACAAAAATACACACACACACACACACAAACACACAAGTGCACACACACACACACACACACACGAAAATACACCCACACACAAACACACAAGTGCACACACACACACACACACACACGAAAATACACCCACACACAAACACACAAGTGCACACACACACACACACACACAGGTAAACACGCAACTTAATTGTGAAATGTTTATTGATGGGAAAGCATATGCTGTCTGACGGCGTCAGACAGTGAGAATGGGGGAGGTTTGAGGAGCGTTATTTGGTGTGTAATGAAACCCTTCTCAATGGATGGATGCTGAAAGCTGAACATCTGCATCTAATTTAGTGCCCCTCCTATGATGACGCGGGAACGTCGCCGTTTATAGCTGAAGCATTCATGCCATCCGTGAGTTCTTAGAGTGCGATGGTTAAAGTCCTGCCAGGCCTCAGAATTCACGCCACATCCTGCAAGCGTCCATAATGACATCCCATGGTGGAGCGAAATGTCACATTGTTAATTGACATGCAGAAGGGTGTGTGCGTCCATCATGCCAACCAGACCAGAGGGTCTGACCTAGAACATTCGTCTAAGTGAGAGCAGAAATATGACCCAACCGCTGTGCTGAAGAAGTTGGGTTAATGGTGATTTATTAAAGCTCAGAACATAGAACATGAAGTGACTTCACAAGCTATAGCTATAAGTCAGATATGGTCTCACTATAAAAAAAAATCTCAAATAATTCACTTAAAAAATGAAAATTATTTTATTTATAATTGTATGTACTCATTGTCATGTTGTTCTAAAGCAGTATACATTATCTTTAAAAAAAAAACCCCACAACATTTCCCATCTATCTCACATTTAGGTACATATTGGAATGAAAGGGATGGATCATGGGTGGATTATCAGTAAAATACATTTTTTAATTTTAGTCTGTTCCATATAACTTCAGAAAACTATATAGCACATCAGTCATTCAGTATGGACTACTTTCATAATAGTTCATTTTTTAATTTTAATTAAATTTTTTTTGTAGACAATTGTTTTAGACTTTGATGTGTAAATAAAAAGCTTTGTGGACATTAAAAAAAATTGAAAAATAACTGCAGTGAATAATGTAGATAAAGGCACAACTTAAATTTTTTGGTAAACTATTTAATATAAAAAAAATAACATTTCGATTATACTATTTATATCACTTTTTTATTAATTAATTAATTAATTTTTTGACAGTATGAAACTTGAATCAGCCACACACATTACCATTCAAAAGTTTGGGGTTGGTAAGATTGTTTAAAGGGGTCATATGATGCGATTTCAATTTTTCCTTTCTCTTTGGAGTGTTACAAGCTCTTCACACACACACACACACACACACAAATACACCCACACAAACACACAAGTGCACACACACACACACACACACAAAACACACGCGCACACACACAAAACACACACACACACACAAAACACACACACACACACACAAACACACAAGTGCACACACACACACACAC